GTCTGCACCGCCCACGCTGCTGCTGCGTCAAAAGCAACACAGGCGCGATGCGCGGGGGCAGAGCTAAACAACGATCGGACGCGGTGAGAGACGCCGCTGGCGCGGGACACTGCGCTAACATATGGTCGGCCTTCTAGCGAGTGTCGCAACTCCGGCTCTGCGCGAAGCTGCAGCGATGCATTCCCATATTGCTGCACGTGCGCGCCGACCACGGAGAAGGAACGCTTGCCTGCTCAAACAACGGATTTACGGTGTGTCATAAGCATACGGTACAAACAGCCGGGGCAGTGTATATGGATCGTTCGCATCCTTTTGCATTCACAGCCCATTGATGCGGCCGATCCAGAACTCGTGCTTCAGGCGCAAGCTGCTATTGGTGTTTCTACTGGCAACCAAGAGCATGGAATTATTGATCTATCGGTTGGTTTCAGTCCGATGCAGGGACGGGGTGAGCAGGGTAACCAGATGGATAGCGCACCGTAAAATACGACAGATGCACCAACGCACATGCACGCACGCACGCACAAACGTGAAATTTACCAGCGGGTACCCGCACCGACACCCGCATGTAAACACGTTACAGAGGCACACGCATGCACACACGCACGCACGCACGCACGCACGCACGCGCGCGCACACACACACACACGCCCACATACGCATTACGCCTCCCACGTAGTATGAGTGGTGTGACAAATTTAGACGATCGATAGTCACAATAATAACGCAGAGAGTAGAGGCGAGCACTACGCCAGCGTTTAGCATTCACTAATTACAGTTAATTATAGGGTTTGCGAATATTACACACGAGATTATTTTTTCTCAGCATCAATGGGAAGTAACTAAAAGCCAGAAGCCCGTTGTCCGAAACAAAATTAGTCTTAAGATTAGTTTTAAGTGGAACGTTTTTATCGTAGTCCGTCGACGGAATTTGGTTTCGTAAAATTACAATAAAATTTAGTCGAAATTTTAATTCTCGTAAGATTACGATGTTTCTGCCAACGTTATCGTTAAAACTAAGGTTAAGATTAATTTTGCTTCTAACAATAAGCCTCTGTTTTTAAATTGGCAGTGTTTGTTAAGGACGGATCTAAATGAAGTTTGCTGTTACGGTGAAACGCCGCATGGGCCACGCTTCTGCAGTTTACGTGCTTGGCTTATAACGAAAGACAGTGCTAATATATTTATCGTTAACCTAAAGTAAATAAAATTTACACGTGCCAATAAATGCGTGCATAACTGAACATTAAAATATTGCGATAATCTTCATTTACTTGATTAAAAATCATAAGCACTTGCTGTCAAATGTAGGATAGGTAGCAGCAACAGTACATCTCACTTCATGATCCCACTGAGACATATTTACTATTTTACCAGCAATATTTAAACGTAGCTTGTATTAATTTCTAAATATTTAATTATTAAGTAAACATTAAAAAAGGATGGAGCGTAAATACTTCACGAAGTGTTGGAGCATAACCTACTAAACAAACTTACTAACAAAAATAATGATGGTAACTGCTATAGCATTGTTACCGATGTAAGTTGTATTGTAAGTATTAGCTATTTTAGTCACATATGTGACCGGTGATAGCGAAATGAGTCACTTGGGGTAATTTTGACATTTTAGGTTGAATACATATTCAGATACCTGAGATTCATAGCTTTCTATTGTTATATAGATATTGAAAATTGGTTGAAAAATGAATATTTGATGACCATTATAAATCGAGATATCATGCAATTAAAATTTCCTGAGAATTGTCTAAAATAAGGGCTGAAAACTAATATAATTCACTGATATTATTAGCCGAGACTTCTTATAAATCATTCAATTTAAGCAGGTTTTAATTGAATGAAGACATTTTTGCTTATAAAGATTAAAAGTAAACATTGTAGGTAATTTTGTTGAAAAGAAAATTTCAAGAAAATTAAAAAAAAAAAATTCCCCATTTTTAAATCGATTGTACAGTAGTAGAATGCTACTGTGCGACTTCCGACTCATTTGGCTATCACGGGTCACATATAGAGTTCACAACGTAAGAATTTACGTCGTAAGAATAGGCACGCATGTCATTACCATCCCTAAGCACCGCACAACCTACAGTTATGTTCCGATAGACAGACAGTTAAATACCAGAAAAAAAACACTACTAGCTGAGAAAAATGGTCGTTATGTGAATGTCATCGGAGTCCTTTTTTTATATATCGGATTGAGTGTAACAGGAAACGCTTCAAGCGGCAACTCTCATGATCAATAAAATTCCCTGAATGACGTCATCGCGTCCACATTACCATTTCGTAATGGCTTGCAGCATTCCTTCACTATAGTGAATCACGATTACGACATTTATCATGACTTGGATCATCCACATTTCCAACATCTGCAACAACCACATTTTAAACCGTCAGTGGATTTCGTTTCACTGCAAACGGTTTTGCTATCATATTTCGGAAAATTATTAAGATAAATCTGTGCTGGGCGGGCAGAAGCACTTATCTGTAGCAACCGATAGCACACATTCCGGACACACTTTTCACAATACAAATGTCCGAGATTCTCACGTCGTGTAATCAATCTAGGCAGCACAAAAGAGAAAGATGAGAGGAAAACAATGCGATACATGTAGGAGTAGCTGAGTATGGGGAATGGCAGAATGGCACACGGGGGATTGTAAGAGTAGAGAGTGGGAAGGGGGGAGGGTGAGGGAGGTTGTACAGGTGGAACAAGGTTTGGTTGTAGGAGTGGAAGAGGGAGGAATGGCAGAGTGGAATACGGGAAAATGGCAGAGTGGAATACAGGGGAATGGCAGAGTGGAATACAGGGGAATGGCAGAGTGGAATACAGGGGAATGGCAGAGTGGAATACGGGGAATGGCGGAGTGGAATACAAGGGAATGGCGGAGTGGGATACGAGGAATGGCAGA